ATTAGGTTGTTGATCTGCTGTATCAACAGTCCATCAAAATCAGAATTACTCTGTTTGCCATCATCAGATTCAATCAGAAAAGTGTAAAAAATATATGATTTGTACAATTTAATAAGTACTGTATGTATATTTTTTGTTCACCTGAACTAGCCTGTTGGCATTTTCAGGTGCAAGTTCCATATCTGCCTCGCATAACCCTGCTTGTGCACGCTTCTCATGTATGCAGTGCAGTAAATATTCCACCTCTGTTTACGAACCTCACTATATATCAGTTTATGACCCACTAAACTAGTATGAAGGTATGCACATATAATCATCCATGCCCATTCTGCAAAGTGGAATTATCATCGTACATTATGACATGAACATCTATGTCCAGTAAATTCCAATGTGCTCAGCCCGCATGTCTTCTGCCTCCCATTTTTTAAAATTCCTTCCTTTATCTGTAAAAAAAAAGTTGATAATAAAATCATATTTGAACACTATGGTCAGCTTGGTCTAAAACAGGTTAAACTAAGAAGCATATAACGCAGTGTTAAATTTAAAAAGAAGCCCCCTTAAACTTTGTTTCCTGAGCAATTATTGGGGAATATTTATTAAAACTAGAGCACTCAGAATCTGGTGCAGTTGTGCATGGTAGCCAATCAGCTTCTAACTTCAGCTTGTTCAATTAAAGGATAAGCTCACCTTTGGGAACATGTTACATGTTCCACCTGTTTTTTATAACGTTCCCAATGCTGCAGCGTTGCCCCCCTCCCTGTGACAGAAGTACAGGGAGAAGTTCCCTGTACTAGCTGTCAGTATTTAAAAACAGTGTGGCCATGCGGGGCTCCGCCCACACGGACACGTCATTCATTCGCAGTGTTCTGTAAATGATGAACTACAAGTCCCAACAGCCTTAGGCTGCATTTACACTTGATTGTTTTGTAGCCTGAAACTTGAAGCTCCAAAAAGCTCAAACCTAAAAAAAATCAATTGTTCTCAATGGTGCCTGTTCACATCTGATCACATGAACAGGTATGGAGAGCAACTGATTTTTTTAGGTTTGAGCATTTTTGGAGCTTCATGTTTCAAGCTACAAAATGCTGAAGTGTGAATGCAGCCTTAGCGGCTGTCAGCTTGTAGTTCTCAATGAACTACCACAGCGCTGTGGAGTGCCGCGGCGGTTCATTGACTCTTCCTAACAGGATGTACGGGCAAGCAGATATACTGACAGATCTGCAGGAGACCGTATGGCACCAGTGATCTGCTGATTGCTGGTGAAATGCTTTACAGGCTCCTTCAGCCAAAAATAATAAATGCACATTTTTTTTATCTGCAAAAAAATGTGCATTTATTATTTTTGTTCAAAAGGTGAACTTAACCTTTAAAGGATGCAGTAAAGCATGCTTGTATACTCACTGTGGAACCTAAGGGGTTAATCCGCCGCATTATGTAAAAAAGCTGTTGATCCTGTCTTCTTTGATCTTCCCCTTCTTTTACTGTCCCCAATCCATCTCCTAATAGTACAGAGTCCTAAGAGGCAGTTTGCACATGCTCAGTTTGGTGTGCATTGCTAGAGAGTTTTTTTTGGGGGGGGGGCGGGGGTGCATGTGATTGGCACAGGGCCAATCAGCACTGTCCAAACAGAGGGTCAGGGGTTATGCAGCCTCATAGAACAGTCAGAGGAGAATGAAAATTCTTCCTACAAGATTAACCAGTGCTTGGCTGGACACTGATAGAAGTCACAAGACTGCTATACACTGCTGATGAGAAAAGGTATTTAGCAGCTTAAATTTTTGAAAACAATTGCATTTCCATGTTGTGTGTACTGTGGGAGACCGGATATAGTGAATGCCGGGTCCTGGGTTTAGTAACACTTTAAGCTTTGACAATAATACCTGGATGTTGGTTGGTATCTATGCAGAGTTTCACCAGATTTTGCACTTTCCAGTTTTAGTAAATTTCCCCACTGTGTTATTGGTGGGTCATGTGATTTTGATTCATGGGTCAAAAATGTTACAGTCTCATCAGGTGGATTTGGCATGTTTTGGATAGACACTACATTTCCTTCAAGACAACTGAAAGGATCCTTCCCTGATTTGGAGTGCCCCTAACTAAATTTAGAGCTTGCAGCTAGGCTGTAGCCAAACTGAGCTTTGTTTTTAATATCTGAGTACATCTGGGTTTTTGCTAGGTCAAGGACATTGATTGTTTCTGCCTGCTGCTGTTTCATAATCTCCAGCAGTTTAAAGTGGTTGTAAACCTCAGACATGAAATATGAACAAAGTATATCCCTCTATAGCGTGTACCTGTCTCAAATCAGAGCACTATGTGTCATTTATCTCTGCTGCCTCATTCCTCTGATATTTACATGAGTCACATCTGGCAAGTTTTCTGGATTCCTGATACCAAGAGGTAAAAAGGTGACAGGGCAGGGATCTCCAGCACACAGCATGTGATTGACAGCCTCAGCTCTGCTCTTGTGTGCTGTGTGAAGGAGGAGTGTTTCTTCCCTCCAATCAGCTCTAAGAGTTCTGCAGTATGTAATTTCAGATCTCCACCCCCTGCTTTCTGGAAGCTCAGACAAATTGTATAAAGTCTGTACTTTGAACGTATGTAGAGAAGAGAAGACTTTGCCTCCAGTGCCTTTTGCCTGAGGAGGAAGCCTGAAGAAAAAGGGTATTGCTCTTTTAGCTGTTTGCTGGACATAAATACTAAGATCTAAGAAACAGGATGGTAGCTACCCATCTAGGCCTACAGAATCTAAGCTGGCCTGTGGTAGAGGCCTAAAGAACCTAAAGTTGACCTAGAAGCTCATAAAGCTGCAAGATAGCTGCTTGTCTAGATCTAAAGATTTCTTGGAAAAGTCCTCTGTGCTGATTAATTTTTGTTACGGTTTTCTATTATCATGTACCCCTACACATCTATCCCTGAGATAATCGAGTCAACAAAATTGCTAAAGAAGATTGAAGGACTGAAGTCTGTCTGTTTCCTTCAATGGTACAGTGAATTGTTGGTTGCAGCTATAGGGCGGATCATTCTCTACTGCCCCTTTTTCTACGAGTTCTTTAGCTTTTTTGTTTTTTTTTTATATAACACATACAATAATAAATGCTCATGTCCATTTGTAATGCAATCATATTTCCAAATGGATCCAATCTGCAAAATCAATATTTGTGAAACAAACCGACCTAGTGGGTGATGTCATGGCTCGCGTAATTCAGCCTCGTTGTGGAGTGATCCATGACACAGGGGAACCAGAGCTTCTGTACCACATGATTGCATCAAGGCAAATGCACAGATCTTTTTTCCAATAGTATACAGCAGAGCTTAAAATTTTGAGTCTAGACCTACTAGCCAGGCACAAACCTTACTCTCCAACAGTTGCCCCACCCAACCTTTGCCCAGGTCCACCTCCAATCCCACCCCTGGCCCATCCCCCAACCCCACCTCCAGCCCTGCCCCCAACCACGCCCCCTTAAAGCTTATGAAATTACAGTTTTCTTTAGAATAAAAAGTCCAAAATATAAAAAACTGCAATTATAAAATAGCTTTATTATGTCAATTTAAACATAACAGCAATAGCTTAATAGCAATAGGGTGCAATCAAAATATCAAGTTTTACAGCTTTAAACCTGTAGTGAACATTTTGTATTTTTTTGTTTATCTCCTGCATCTTTAAAAAGAGAATTTAGTAACTAAAGTCTCTTTTAAAAGATGTAAGTTTAGTTTACAGAAGTATAGCATAAGAAAAAGTGCTTATTTTGATGCCAAAAAACATGGAATAATAGTTACTGTAAACATGTTGTATTTTTTATCTCCAGCAGAGACCTTAGAGAAGAAAAAACAAAAAAGTGCCTCTTTGATGGCCAAAAAACATTGCATAAAATAAATAACAATAGTAAACATTTTGCATTTTTTTTTTTATCTCCAGCATCTTATTAAAAGAGAACTTAGAAAAGTAGTGCATTAATTAAAAACAAAAGAGTGCTTATTTAGATGCCAAAAAACATGGCATAACAATAGTAAACATTTTAACAAAGATGTGCTATTATAGCAGCCATGGTTTGTGTTGTACAGAAGGACCAAAACTTGTGTAATACCCTTTTTCTGATGCAAAATACCACTTCAGTGGCTGTGTGTGGATTGCATTCTATTCAATTAAGAAAAAAAAACACCAAAAAATCATTTTTTTGGATGACAAAAAGCAGTAGGAAGCCAGTTTCACATCAAGATTTGCAATGGTTTGTGTTGTACAATAGGACCAAGACTTGTGTAATACCCTTTTTCTGATGCATAATACCACTTCAATGGCTGTGTGTGGATTGCAATCTATTCCTCTCCTCGAGTCCCCTGTGGCGGTGGAGAGGGTGTCTCCCCTCAGCGGAGGAGAGAGGACCTCTCCTGCACCTGTCCCCTCAGCGGTGCTGCCAGTGTAATGGCGGTGCCGAAGAAGCCGGAAACTGGAAGTTGGAAACTGGAACTCGGCTTCACAATGAGGTTTGGAGTGCAGGTGCAGCAGCTCCATCATCTGTGCTCGCCGCTCACCACACATGAATTTCTCTTCGCATTTGGCGAGCGGACGAGCTGCTTTTTCAAGCCCTGGTATACAGCATTGATACGAGAAGGGGGAAGCAGTGTTTTTAAAAAGACAGTATATGTAGCATTTACTTTTACTTTAAAGCAGAACTACACTGTATCTGAGCACCACAAACCAGAAACGCTATTTAACTCATTTTTAATATTCAAAGCAAACTACCCCATCCATCCATGTCTCCATGCTTTATTTTGTTGATAAACCTTTTTGAAAAACACCCCCTAACATTTCTGGTTGTGGCCATCTTAAGTAAAATCTTAAGAGATTTTGTGAAATTTGTTATGGAAAGTGTGTGATTGTAATGTTTTTGAAAATTTGTTGTATCTATAATATAAACCTAATAAAAATATAATAAGAACAAAAAAAGACATATCATGTGGAGTCACTCTGTATATGCTCAGTTTGGTGTGTATTGCTAGAGATGTTTTTTTCTAGGGAGAGTGCATGTGATCAGCACAGTGCCAATCAGCACTGTCCAGACAGAGGTCAAGGGTTCTGCATCCTCCTAGTGCAAAGTGAAAATTCCTCCTACAAGCTTTAACATGTGCTCTGCTGGACACTGCTAGAAGTCACAAAACTGCTCTAACTGCTGATGAGAAAAGGTATTTACTGTAGCAGTTTATATTTACTAAAATAATTGCACTTCCATGGGTTTATTTACACTTTAAAGTTTGAACCATGAGTTGCAAGAAAAAAAAATTGCACGATTCCTCTATCAACACAGTCAGTGTTGATGGAGGAATCTCTCCTGTGAAGCCATTGTGTTCTCTTGGCGGGGGAGTCATCCCCGCTAGGAGAACACAGTGAATACTGGTAGCAACTATAATAGCTACTAGCAATAATCATGTGTAAAAATTGATCGATCAACTTGGGTACATTCAGCATACCTCCCAATTGTCAATGATTTTGACAGACTGTCCCTGATTTGGGCAAAGTCCCTCTGTCTCTCTTTCCTCCTCATTTGTCCCTCATTTTGGTCTGATCTATATAAAGTGCACTAATTATCTTTCAAAAAGTGTTTCCCAGTGCTAAACCTTTCATCCAATTTCTAAATTGTTGCATCTGTAAACTTCAAAAGCCAATATAAAGGAATAGTAGTAATTAAAAAAAGCACTTGTGAGTTTTAACTAATCTTTTTTTTGCGTAATTCTCCTTTAAGGGGGCGCGGCAGGGTGTGTGTGCTATGCCTATATACATTTACTGATAGGTGTCCCTCATTCCCATCCCAAAAAGTTGGGTGGTATGCGGTCCTTGCTAAACAGGCTGAGATTTGAACTGTCTATGGCCAGCTTAAATCAGGTGGCCATTAACTTATGTCTGAGAATATTTGTATTATCTAAATATTTGCTGGACATTTGTGAAAAAGGTGTGATACTTCCATTGGCTTCTGACTGCTCAGTGAATAACATTCAAACCACTAACAACAACATATAAAGCCATTCACAGCACTACCCTGAGCTACATCACCAATCTTGTCTTATGATATCACCCAAACTGTTCTCTCTGCTCCTCCTAAGACATTCTGCTTTCTAGCTTGCTAGACACCTACCCCTATGCTTTCATCCAGGACTTTTCCAGAGTCTCTCCCATCTTGTGGAATTCCCAACCCCAATCTGTCTAGCTATCTCCTACTCTGTCCACTTTTAAGTGATCTCTGATAACCCATCTCTTCAGCAAAGTCCACCCCTGAACTTCTACTTTCTCCATCAACTCATCCCTCACAGTTATTCCCTTTTGTATGACTTGCATTCCCTATTAGATTGTAAACTCTGATGAGCAGGGCCTTCCTAACCCTCTTGTATTGAATTGAGTATAGTAATGGTACTGTCCCCAATATTTGCTAAAACGTTGCACAAATTGTTGAAGCTATATACAGTAAATCCAGCATAATCAAATTCATTTGGAAGGTGAAGTCGTTGCAAATGCAGGGAAGCCATAATTAAGTCAGGGATAAACAGATTACCGTTTACAGAAACTGAGGAACAATCTACCTGCTTGTACCTAGACTTAGGTGTCAGGGCTCCGGGGTATGACCAGAGGTATGTGACTGACGCAGGGAAACGCAGACTTCAGATATGTTATAAACAATATAATTTATTAACACTAACAATACAAACATAAACGCAGTGCAATACTAAAACATAACACAGTGGAAACGAACCAAACCAAACCACCCACAGATAACAGTACATACAATGCAAGCGTCGTCAGGCAGGCCGGGTCAATAACAATCGGGCAGGTAGGTACAGGGGGAGCAAGCGGAGAATGGTCGGGGTCACAAGCCAGGTTCAGCAGGTAGCGGGCAGCGTGGTACAGAGGGTCAGGCAGAGGGATGGTCAGGAACGAGCCGGGGTCAGAGCAGGAGAGGGTCAGCGTAATCAGAACAGGCAGAGTTTGGCAACAAGGAAACGTACTAGCAGGAACACAGGAACAAGAATGCAGGATTACAAGATACAGGGCCCAGGAAAAACACACACACCAAGGCAAAGACTGCAGGTCTGGCCATCACTTAAATACACCTGCATAAGCAGTTTCAGGTGTTTGGCTGGCTGCAGGGTTGATTCTCTGATTGCTGGGAGCACCCGCTGGCCAGCCCTGGTACTGCAGCCCACAAGGCAGGTGAGTCCCACCATTAAGTCCATTCCTAACAGTAGGAAAATATATTATGACTATATACAGTTGTGTTCAAAATAATAGCAGTCAGACATCACTAACTTGATCAATCACTGTTTTTGGTAGAAATTATATTTCTACATGGCAAATAATTTACTAGCTGGTGTAGTAGAGTAATAGAAATCCAACAGACCCAACAGTCATGACATGCATGCTGCTGATTCTGTGTAATTGAATCACTAATTGAAAGGGGCATGTTCAAAATAATAGCAGTGTGGAGTTCTATTAGTGAGGTCATTCATTCTTTGAAAAACAGGTGGCAATTATTGCCCTTATTTAAGGAAGGAAGGAAGCAAATGTTGTACATGCTGGTTACAGTGCATTTCTCTGGGTCATTCCAGACATTGTTTAGAAGAACAGCGTACCTTGATTAAAAAGTTGATTGGAGAGGGGAAAACATAAAGAAGTTCAGAAAATGATAGGCTGCTCAGCTAAAATGATCGCAAATGCTTTAAAATGGCAACCAAAACCTGAAAGACGTGGAAGAAAGCGAAAAACTACCATTCGATTGGAAAGAAGAATAGAAAAAGCCAACAATCAGCTGCAGGAAGATCAAAGAAGGTCTAAAGTTACCTGTGAGTACTGTTACAATGAGAAGACGCCAATGTGAAGCCAAGCTATCTGCAAGAAGCCCCCGCAAAGTCCCACTGTTGAAAAAAAAGACATGTGCTGAAGAGGTTACAATTTGCCAAAGGGCATATTGACTGGCCTAAAGAGAAATGGCGCAACATTTTGTGGACTGATGAAAGTAAGATTGTTCTTTTTGGGTCTAGTGGCCGGAGACAGTTTGTCAGACGACCCCCAAACACTGAATTCAAGCCACAGTACACTGTGAAGACAGTGAAGCATGGTTGCGCAAGCATCATGATATGGGGATGTTTCTCATACTACAGTGTTGGGCCTATTTATCGCATACCAGGGATCATGGATCAGTTTGAATACATCAGAATACTTGAAGAGGTCATGCTGCCTTATGCTGAAGAGGAAATGCCCTTGAAATGGGTGTTCCAACAAGACAACAACCACAAACACACCAGTAAACGTGCAACATCTTGGTTCCAGACCAACAAGATTGACGTTATGGAGTGGCCAACCCAATCCCCGGATCTTAATCCAATAGAAAACTTGTGGGGTGACATCAAAAATGCAGTTTCTGAGGCAAAACCAAGAAATAGAGAAGAACTGTGGAATGTAGTCCAATCATCCTGGGCTGGAATACCTGTTCACAGGTGCCAGAAGTTGGTTGACTCCATGCAACACAGATGTACAGCAGTTCTCAGAAACAGTGCTTATACAACTAAATATTCATTAAGTGATTCAAAGGAAAGCAAAATCTTCAAACATTGTTCAGTTTATATAGTGAATGTTTGAGTTTGTGAAGCAGAATACAAACACTGCTATTTTTTTTGAACAGTCTAATATTCACATTTCTTCAATTTTGTAGAGGAACAACACAAATTTGATATATTTTTCTTCATGTTTTGATTTGGAATAGAATGTGTAGTGTTCCCAATGCATTTTGTGTGTATGGAAATAAAAGCTATTAGAAGGATTTTGAGCTTTATTCACTTTTTTCAACACGCTGCTATTATTTTGAACACAACTGTATAATGATTACCATGACTGATGGAAAGATTTTAAGTGATTCTAAAGGTTAATTTTTTTTTTTTTGTAAATAACAAACATGTCTATACTTACCTACTGTGTGTGGGTTTTGCACAGCGCAGCCTGGATCCTCCTCTTCTCGGGTCCCCCGCATGCTCTCCTGGCCCCTCCCTCCCGTCGGGTGCCCCCACAGCAAGCAACTTGCTATGGGGGCACCCACTGCTCTGTGTGTCCATTCACACATGGAGCCATGGCTTGGCCCCACCCAATCTCTCTCCCCATTGGTTTACTGACTGTGATTGACAGCAGCGAGAGCCAATGGCTGCCGCTTGCTGTCCAAGCCAATGAGGAGGCAGAGGCCTGGGACAGCCAAGGCTGTCGTTCACATCGCTGGATCGCGATGGGGCTCAGGTAAGTGTTAGGGGGCTGGGGCAGATGCTGCACACAGAAGGTTTTTACCTTCCTGCATAGAATGTACGAAGGTAAAAAACCTTGAGTCTTTACAACCGCTTTAAAATCAATGAGTTGTAGCTTCAATCTGAGTCTTTGCACATGGCTATTTTTATTTGTCACAATTTCTCTTTAAGTGACAAAACCTAAATCTAGATTGACCAATGAAAACATGAATTGCATATATCTGCCTTCATATCTTCTAAACAGCCTATACCTCTTTTAGCTGCCAGTTTGTGCCTTTTTTAGTTGTCTGTCTTTGTTCCCCAGGCCTTCCCTTGTGCCTCTGTCTTTTTCTGGCTCTGTCCCTCTCTCTACCCCCTCTTGCTGTATATACACGATGTCTGTGTGTCACTGCGTGTGTTTAATCCCATCTCTCTTTAAAGGATTGTTTTGTGTAATCCCTTTAACACTTCATTCTGCTAATTATCCGGAGAACGAGGTGCAGCATGGGGAGGGGAGAGGACAGGCACCATTACATCATGGTGGTGCTGGGGGGGTAGTCCGTTTGACCCGAGTATAACCACACTAACGCAACAATAGAAGCAAAGCTTGTCACTAACACACTGTGACATGGGGATTAGAGATGGATTCATTCACACACACTGACAAACCAACAACTATTACACACTGACAGACTAACATCTATAACACTAGGTGACAGACAACCACCTGTAATGTATGGTGAGCCCACAGGTACAACACCCGGCTCCAAGGCCTTTTCTCACCATCCAGTGCCTTTTTCCAAAAAATATTTTCTCTGTGCTATATGTTATGACTGCACAATATTTTGCCTTTTGCATGTTATTGCTTATATCTTTAGGATTAATATCTATCTAGTATATCTATGCAATCTCTCACTTTGGTTTATCTCATTTTATATTACTTTATCATCTAATGATCG